TATGCATTTGAAGTGCAAGTGTTCTGATATTGTTATTGAATAGATTTCCATGGGAGAGTAAAACAGAGACTCTACTGACAGTGGAAAAAGTGCTAAAGATGAGTCAGTCAATCATTACCGAAGTATAAATGCTGGCTCTACGCAGGCTTTAATGATATCTGTGTAAAGGAGCAAATCCGAAGATTTTCTTTCAGTTAATGCATAAAGAGTACTGATTTTGCATCCTTTTTATAAACTAAGGAATGATGAAAAGATAAGAGACTGATAGTGCTGTAATGATTTTTTTTTTCATCCATGCTTGTTCTGTTGTGTGGTTACTACAGAATCACAGAATCTGCTGAATTGGAAGGGAACCACAAGGATCATCAACTCCAACCCTTATCCCTGCACAGGACCATCCCCAGGAGTCACACCATGTGCCTGAGAGTACTGTCCAAACACTTCTTGAACTCTCTGAGACTTGGTGCTGTGACCACTTCCCTGGGGAGCCAACCACCTTCCAGCACTCAACCACCTTCTGGGTGAAGAATCTTTCTAATATACAACCTAAACGTCCCCTGACACAACTACAGGCCATTCCCTCGGGTTCTGTCACTGGTTTCCATATATCCATTCAAAATTTTTATCAGTATAAAGATACAATAAAGTAGAGTTCAAAGTATTGGAAACAAATGAGCATAGGGAGTATTAGTAAGTACCAGGGACACACAGGTTGTGTAGCTGCTCTTTTCTCTAACCCCTTGTTCCATGTTTACATCTCTAAGCAACAACAGTATACCTTGCATTTTAGGAAGTAATTGTATTTTTCAAAATATTCTCAAACTAATTTTGGGGGAAGAGGAAGAAGAATTGGTGTAATGCTAAAATTCTGGATCTCTCTCCACCCATAGTATTTTATTCAATCATCCACTCTTGGAAAACAAATAAACAAAAAAGACACCCACAAAAAAGTCTCCCGAAAACACCTATTAGAATGTCTTTGAATATTCTACAGTACAAAAGCATTTTTAAGTAACATTTTCTTCTGTGTCATTTAAAGAGCTAAACTAATATGTTTTCTTTCTTTTGTGAATATGTTTTGTGCCAATATTTCCAGCTGTTTCCACAATTTCAAATCTGTGGTCTGAAACTTAAACTATGTCTATTGTTTCACAAAGCTGTGTGTGCATGTCAAGCTCAGTTAACTGTACACTGTCAAACTTTATGTTAAAAAGGCTTTTAGTCATAAAGAGACTTTAGAAATAGTAGGAGTTTTAAACAGATTTTTGTATTGTAAATTGACTCTAGATGTACACTAAAATACATACAGAAGACTCAGGATGAGAATGGTTGCACACCTGGGTCAGTAAGAATTTTCCTCACAGATTTTTATAGAATCATAGAATATCCTGAGTCGAAAGTGAACCACAGGGGTCACTGAGTCCTACTCCTGGCCCTGCACAGGACAACCCCAAGAATCACACCATATGCCCAAGAGTGTGTCCAAGTGCTTCTGGAACTCTGTCAGGCTTAGTGCTGTGACCACTTCCCTGGGGAGCCTGTTCCTTCCCTCTGGGTGAAAAACCTTTTCCTAATGCCCAACTTGAACCTCCCCTGACACAGCTTCGTGCCATTTCCTTGAGTCTTGTCAGTGGTCACCAAAGAGAAGAGATCAGTGCCTGCACCTCTGCTTCCCCTCATGAGGAAGTTGTAGACTGCAATGAGGTTTCCCCTCAGGCTTCTTTTCTTCAGTTTAAACATGACAAGTGACCTCAGGTCCTCATATGGCCTCCCTCTAGGCCCTTCACTATCTTTGTAGCTCTCCTTTCAGCACTTTGTGTCTTTCTTACGTTGTGGTGCTCAAAACTGCACACAGCCAGCGCTCAGGGTGAGGCCACACCAATGCAGAGCAGAGCAGGACAGTCACCTCCCTTGACTGGCTCATGATGCTGTGCCTGGATGCACAACTTATTTTTATAGGTGCTCCCTAATAATGCATAATTTGTTAACTGAATTTTTTAAAGCAACATAGAAGATTTTGAATTGTGCACTTTAAATGTGGATTTAAAATTTCACTTGTGAAGCTGTTTAGCATATGGATGGTATATAAATTAAGCTAGTCTTGTGCTGATGTTTCATTTCATTGTTCTCTTCTGACATCAGCGTATCAGACTTGTGGAACAGTACACTGTGACAATGTGTTTAGGTTGAAACAATTACAGATAATAAGAGTGGTAAATGTCATGATATACAAGTGTTAGTGAAATATGGTTTTAATTATTACTTTGCTTTGTGTCGTATTTCATCCCTTGAAGCCAGCAATACCCTCAAGATGCTTTAGCCCATTTATGGAATTTCTCCACTCCCAACTAATTAACTGTAATTAATACATTGCCAAAAAGTTGGAATTGCTTAGTTTTGTCCTAGTTGCATTCATTACTGGTATATTAAAAAGATGTAACTTAATTTTATTGAAAAGTAAATTCCTTCAAGCTAATTTTTTCTGATTTTTTTTCTTCCATTCTGAAGCAAAGTAAAAATATATAGGTTTTTTTAAAATCTGTATGTTACTCACATTAGTAGAAAATAGTTTCTGTTGTACCAGAAAATTTTCCTTAAAAATAAAACCAAAAAAAAGGAGCAATTTTGGTAATAAATATTTGGAATCGAGAATTACTAGGCCATTTCTGGGTTTATTGGCACTTTATCTCTGGACCTCTTTAACTGAGAGATTACTGCATTTTATATATTTTGGAGCTAGAGTTCCCTACTCCTTTATACTTTCTGTTGAACTTTTTTGTATCTTGTTTATTTAAAGACTATAGGTAATTTCTGAATAATTTAAAAATATTCCAAAGTGTCTTTATGAAACCCCTTTCTAAGTTATTCTGTCATCTTGTGTCTCTTTTTTTGTAACTCAAAGTGCTTAAAGACTACTGTAGAGAACTATAACAATTAAATTGCTTTTCTAAGTGGGCTGACAAACTGACAAAAATTACTAATTTAAATAATGTAAAAGTGATAACTATGATTTTTGTAAGATATCTGTGTGTGTTAGTAATACAATACAGATGTGTCATGCTGATGAATTCCTTGAATATCACTGATGCACTATAAAACAAGAATAGAAACTAAAAATGTATCCTTCATCTGTTTTATTAAACTTCTTGAGGAAACTAATAAAAAAAAAGAAGTCAAATATTGAAGCACTCTCATTTGGTTCTTCTTTAACTCAGATTTTTACATTCTCGACAATTTTGATTTCTTGAATCCTGGAGGAGACTGGAAATTACTGGTATCTTCGAAACATGAATTTGCAGGCACATGGTTAAATTTGACACAGCGGAAGGGTTATTTCAGCTTTTGTAAAGGAAAGCTTATGTATTGCAGAGCTAGTTGTCATTCTCTAAGGAGTTAATTGGCATCTTATTTGAGGTTGCTGAAGCTGATAACAACCTACTTGCATATCAAGATGTTCCACAGAAGCTTTTACTAAAGACTCTTTAAGGAAACTTAAAAGATTTGGGATAAGAGTAAGTATTTACCAGAGTAGATTACTTGTTAGAAGATAAGGAACAAGGTAAAGTGCGTGACCAGTTCTCTTAGCAGTAAACCACTAGTGGAGTTTCACGATGGCCTGTGTTGAGACTTGCGCTGTTATTTTGTTCATAAATAATTTGGAACAGGAAGTGGAGTTACCCAATTTTTTTCTGTGTAGTAGAGATGAGGGCTGACTAAGAAGGTTTTTAGAAGAATGTTATGATAAAATTCATAGGTAAGTGCAGATAAATGATCAACCGTTTTGTCCTCCTTTACGAAGTTTTGTAAAACTTCCACACGCGACATGACTTATTGGTGGGAAGATGTGAGAAGAGATGTGGTGGAGCATTTTGAAGAGCTGAGAAGGTGGTTTTGCACTCCCTTTTCAGTGAGAACAACAGAGCATGTGATGAAAAGAGTGATGAATCAGATGTGCCCTGATGCAGCTGCTAAAAAATACTACTATTCAAAAAATAATTGGGTGAATTTCAGGATTCCTGTGATTCACTGAATACTGTTAAGGCAGTCACTTCTGTTTCAGTGTGTCCCTCAGGGAGTTTTTATTTTAGGGATTTCCGAAGCCAGAATAATAGCTTTATATGAGGCCAAGGGAGTATTCTGGGAAAGTAAGAAGATATGATTGCCTTGTTCTTGCTGTTGGCTATTCGCTCTTTAATAGAGACTGGATACTGTTCCTGCTTTTCTACCTGTGGAAAAGCTCCCTACTCAGTTTTTTCCTTAATAGGATTCTTATAATCGCTACTTATAGGAAGCTGAACTGCTTGGGAAGGGTGTGTTGAGAGAATAATGTCTTTTCTAGGTGAATGAAAAGTGGACAAACTTTTTTTTGTTTTTTTTTTGTCTGGTGGTTTTTTGTTTTTTGTTTTTTGTTTTCCTGCAAGGCTTGTGAGGCACCATGAGACTTTGCTATTTTTGTGCAGGTAACTGGAGAAAAAGATAGAGGGAATCACATAAGGAATACAGAGAGGTTCATAGTTACTACCATCCTTTTTTGATGATGCAGCAACCAACACAGACACGGAATTTGAAGAGTCATGAGTTTATTAACTTGTTTCCATACTCTAAAGGTTTGTCACTGGAAGGTCAATGATGTCTTTTGGTGAAGCCTCCCTCAACTCCATCAAAAATTTTTTTTATACATGTAACTTCTCATTCATTTAATTAACAATGTAAAGGTTTAGGAAGATACTTGCAGCACCTAATTTAATTCATCTGTGCTTATAAAATGTTTATTTACTTATGTAACACTTTGCTGGATACCTACAATTTGGCATAAGCTTCTTGGAACAGTTTTTGATTTCTCGTCCATTCTGAACCTACCTAACTAATACAGTTGTATTATTCTGGATAAGACTGTTGAGATGTAAGGTTTAATTAATAAAAAGCAAATCTGTTACCGCTTAAACGTATGATTTCTTTAAGGCTAATTAAGGATGTATTTTCTTTTTTAATTACTACAGTGTACAGACTATGACCTGGATTATGGAACTGAATGTTTGCATCTGGCTCTGAAATACTGTAAAACAAATGCCAAACTTGTTGAAGGAACAGCTGACCTCTGGAAGGTAAAGGCAATAATATATAGTTTTTATATATTGTTTAAAATTAATAAAATTTGCATATTATCATAAAAATTCAGATGTGTTTTCAGTTGTAAGTTAGGCTTTTCTCTTTCAAATTTTTTAATTGTTTTTGTATTATCATGACTCCTTTTTAGAACTTGTTTTTGTAGACAGACTTGGGCAGATGTTACTAGAGATAACCAATGAAGACAGTATTTTTCTTTAAGTAGGAAAACCAACTAGGTACTTGAATAACCTGACAATCTGTAAAACTATAAATCCATAATCTCCAAAACTAAGAACATTCTTTTATGGTATGAGCTTTCTCCTGCTATTTCTATAACTTTTGTCTATTTTTCTCAACTTTTCCTATGAGGATATCACTCTTTCTCTGATGCCGAATACCTGGCTGTCACCGATTTGATTTTTAGAGCAGTTCATTACATTCAGTAACAGTGTAATATTTAAGATTTCTTGAAAAAATCTTCTAAAAATTTTTAAACATCATTCACCTTGTTTGGTAATCTGTAGGTTCCTGATGACTAACAAAGGAGGTGTCTGTAAAGGTGCCAAAGTATACATCCCTGCTGCTTGAAAGTATTGCATTTCATTGTTTTGAATGGTGGGACATTATTCTTTCTCAGTACCTGTTGTGTCATGCAATTTTTAAGAGTTTATTTTATTTTATTCATTAGCACATTGAAGGATCTGGAAGCAGCTCAAATCACTCCATCTATCTTTGACGGTAAATTTACTCCAAAGGGACATGATTTCTAATAGTATGACCATAAATCTTACAAAGAAAGGTAATTTCCTGAGTCTGCAATGCAAATTTCCTGTGCAATTTAACAGCAAAATTTACTTGTGCATTGGTTGCATACATAAACTTCTTTCCATGTTTTGCTGGGACATAGTCTTTCTGAAACAGTATATGGTCTCTTTTCCTATTTATTCTTCTAAGGGAGAGATTATGTCATGCATATTTACATGACATAATTTTTTGGGTGGTTTCATTGTTCTCATTGTAAGGCATGGTACTTACATGAAGGATAACAAGATACACCAATAATGTTCACTTAGTTCTTTATAATGTTCATTTCTCTGTGGCCCTTCCCCACCCTTCCTCTTCCGTTCTTTGGGCCGAACAAGCCAAGTTCTCTCATACCATCTTAACACCCCTCTGCTGGGCTTCCTTTCGTTCCTCTTTGTGTTTGATTTTTCTCTCCCCTATCCAATTGAAGAGGGGAGTGACAGAGTGGCTTTGATGGGCACCTGGCATCCAGCCAAGGTCACCCACCAAAGAGTCTCAGTGTTAACAGTATCGTTCAGAGTGTGACAGTAGCAAGGGCACCCATTTCTGTGCAGATCCTGTGCTGCAGGTGGTGCAGAGCAGTGAATATGCCATATACGATATGCACAAAGATGCTGGTGCTGTGTCATTAAAGTTACCTGTACCTTTTAATACCCTATTCCATCTCTTATTTTGTAGCTAAAAGTCATTGGTGTCTTCTGCTGCTTGTGGAGACATTAAAAGTCAAAGGCACAAAAATGAAAAGTCTGTGAAATATTAGATTGTTTCTGCAGAAAATACTTTTATGAGATTAGAGACTATGGAGGAAGATAGCTGCTTCTTTTCGAATAGCACCCAGGTGCTGGTCACTCTGTTCCGAGGTTTTTGGCAGGTGACTTGAAGCAGTACCATTAAGGAAGAGAACAGTTGTGCTCAGTCTGTGCAGTTTGACAAAGTGCACAAGACTACCACTTTTCTCAAATGGTCCTTGCCTATAAAATGGTTAGGAACTGTTGCTGTTTGTTACTAATCACGTTTCAGAAACACAACTGTCTTTCCTTAGCTGTGTAATAACGTAATTTGTAATATATGTTTGTTTTTTTCTGTTAGGTTTTTCAATGCTAAGATAAATGATATTTCATAAGCCAAGAACTGATGTGCTCTCAGTGGCCTCAGTCTTATTTTTTCAACATGAGGCAAAAGGATATTCCATCCAGATAAATAAGAACTGAAATACCTAAGCATTGTTCAGTTGAGGTTTCAGAGGATGTGTAACTGAAAATCTGTTGTCAATTAATAGATGGAGGAGAGTTTCTAAAGTTCAAGTATTACAAACCAGTTTCGTCCTATGAGGATCTTGAATCTTTAAAGAGCAGATCAGATATTTGTAAGAATTCAGTGTACAACCTACATAACATTAAATGACTCAAACCTGTGGGAAAAACCTGTGTATGCTTATATATTGTCTTCTTGAATTAGTACTGATTATTGTACCTGAGGAGTGTCTACTTGTACATTAGGAAAAGCAACATTTCAAAGTCACTGTTGGAGTTAAAGCAAGACATAGTGTGTTTACTTTCTGAGAACAAATTGCAAAATTAAAATAATTCTTTGTAGTGACAACAACCAAGCAGGAACATTCAAATTACTTCAGCGTTATAAATATTTATATGTTCTATTTTAAAAGTAGTTATTATATAGCTATTTATAAGATATTGGGATCAGGATGGCAAAAAAGGGAAACAGAATGAGAATATCAACACCACATTTTCAGTTTCTCTGTGCTTGGCACCTTTGAAGCAAAATTACCTTAAATATTCTGGGGCAATATGCTCTTTAAGTATGAAATCAACAGAATGTGTTTGTTGGACTCTAATATATAGGTGTGTATAACACAGATGAAAAAAATCAGTGTAAGAACATTTTTAAAACATTGATACGGATTTATAGACAATGCTGACAGAGCGAAAAATCCTCACCATTTGTAAAAAACATGATTATTTTATAATCCTACAAAAATATTCCATACGAAGGAGATCTGTATGATATCTTAGTATAAGAGAGGGGAAAACTTAATTAAGGTAAAATGCAATACATTTTGTGTATGTGTGATCATAACTTTATTGTATTTGTTCAGTAAAGAGTTATATTTTTGCATTTACTATGCAGTTTTGTAAATCTGAAGTGTTCATCAAGCTAAATTAGTATGAAGAAGACTTTTAAATATTGAATAGGAATAACTTTGGGGAACTTTTAAAAGAACATCTTCCTAGATAGTGAAAACTTGCAGTCTGGCCGTTGAGAGAGAAGGGTACATGGGAAAACAAAACAAACAAAACCTATCTCATCATTTTGAGGCTTTATTAAATAGATAGATTGTTTGTTATACAGAAAAGTAGTGATATGTTTAATAAGTAAGACTATTCTGCCTTTGCTAAATAAGCAGGTCATGTTTTCATGTTCTGTGACAGTGAGGTATTTGTGTTGAGTTCTAGTATTTGGTCTAGTGATATTCTGGATTGCAGCAACAACATTCTGAAAATCTTGGAACATTGGATGTTCAAGAGGAAAAAATGAAAAATAGTATTGTCACATGAGCAGTGAGAATCCAAGTTAGAAGCCTGTGAATTTGATATTGACCAACAAAACAAAAAGGGTGTTCTTCTATGGGCAAAACTTGATTAATAAAGAGTTAAGGGACTAATGTAATTAATGTCAACCAACATGGAATTTACTTATTTTGTGAAATTAACTGCAAGACTTAATTACAAGATTATAATTTTACTGATAACATGGTAATGCTGATACAACGCACAGTTTGCAGAAGTTTGACTTCTTACTGCATTGCATCTTAATTATAGGATGACTAATTTTACTGGTTCTCATTAAACAGATGAAACATTAGATAATTGAAAAGTTTCAAAAGATAATTCTCACCATGTACAGTTCTGCAGAAACTGTTATTGTCTCTAAGGTATTTAACATCTGTCTGATAAACTTTTCAGACAAAGATTTAAGGATTTGTAAATAAAAATATAATTGATCAGAAACAACCTATTGGTAAGGATTGTTTAGTAAACAGTTTAAACAAAAAATGTGCTTTTCATTGCAGCCAAATACATAGGAGTGTTTTTAGAAACAAACCAAGTATAGATCATATTTAGAGAATAGTTCTTGGAGAGCAGTGACTTTGAAAGTAGTGTAGGAATCACAGAGGAGAGCAAGTTTCCACTGTGTGTGGGCAAAATACCTTATGTCAGCCATTGATATAGAAACAAGAATATGAAATTAGAGATGTTCTAATATTACAAGTCCATCTAGAATACTGTAGTAAAATCCAGACTCAAGCTCTGAGCAACTGTTGATAAATAAGGAACTTTCAGAGACAAGCATGAAAAAAAAAAGATTAAATTTTATAAGTATGTAGAGATTTAGATTAGTAATGTGATAGAAGAAAAGCAAAAATGGATGAGGTAGAAATCTGTCTTCTTCAAAGAGAAATCCTATGCATCATTTTTCTTGCTTCCCCCCCCGTGATGTTTTGCACCTCGCCTGTGAAGAGTGGATTATGCTGCCTTACTTTGTGGTATAGAGTGTCAATTAAAGTATTCTTCCTCACTGATTTGGTTAAATCTAAATTGCTTCCAGCTGGAGTGAACCTCGAATGCAAATCCGCTTTAGTGGAACTAGAGGTAAAGCAGTACAGCTGCCCAGGACAATTAACTGTTGTGTTGACTAATCTCCTAAATTGTTTGAAGCACATTCAAACTAAAATAATCAGTGGTTTGAGTTAAACCAAAGGGTTTATATGCCATGGTTGTCTGCCTTTTTGAATAAGTATCAGCTAAATTGCAAGAACATGTCTTAATCAACACAGGAAAATCCAGAGGCATTATGAATATCCGCAAGTTAAGAGAAACTGTGGTTTGATTTAGCATCTTAGTCATTATTGGAAGGGGTGTAGAGAATCTCTCCTTCTCTGACTGGTAAATGGTGGTCACCTGTGCTGTCTGGCAGGATTTTTCTGTTACCTTTACTGTTTTCTTGAAGCTTAACCTGAAATTAGCTTGTAGGATCAAAGATAATAAAAGGAATACATATGGAGAATGGGATATGGTCTCCAATGATTTATTTCTTTAAAAAGTATTTGCTGATGTCTGGCTCAGAATTTCAGAGGGGATTTTTTTTGAAGGTTCATTCTTGCATTTTATTATTTTCTGCTGTTTTCTTCAAAACTGTACCTAAAATTACTGCTTAAAAGTACTTTTGCACCTCAAAGAGATTGTGAACCTTAGAGTACGTAAGACCACCTCTGATAGACCTTAGTTTTGTTTCTTGAAAGGTTTTTAGTTGATAATCTGTTACACTTTACTGAAAGTTCAGTGTAAAAGCACTCTAGAAACTTAATAGAAAGAAAATTTGCAACAAAATTGGTCACTCCTTATCCTTAAAATTAATTTCAAGACATTGATTCTTCCCAACAGTAAGTAGACATGTAAATGTTTGTATGTAAACTCAGACACATAAGATTTCTTAGGCTAGATTCATTCTCTGGCTGCTTCCTCTGCAGGACAAACTGTATGGAAGTAAGTTAGTTTTTAATTTTAAAAGAATATGATGCCTTGGGAAAGTGATGAGGAAGGTAATATTATTTGTCTGTTTCTAACTACAATACAGAGCTTCATTTATGAGATCAAAAGGAAAGTGGTTACAAGAATCTTTATGGTAAAATCAAATAATCACTTATTTGGAGACTAAGATGCTGATACCTACAATGGTGTCCTTCTGCTGTAAGATTTAATTTGCAGCACTAGAGCTCTTGGAATCCTCTGCAGGACATTTTGAGGAAAAAAGTTGTTCAGACTAGAGAAACAAATGCAGAAAATCCAATAAAATTTTATTTAACATAAATGGGAGTTACAGTCAAACCAAATACAAATATTAAAGAGTTATGTCAGTTCAAGTCACAGCATGTCATTGTGAAGACATTGCTAGCAAAGACTGGTAATGTCTTGGGTAGATGCTGTCTTTAATTTTACATTATTTTATTTGCAAAGCCTATTGCTGGGACTGTCAATCGCCATGAGGGTACAAAGGCAAGTATCAAAGGTGTTTTTTACAAGTACCAAGTAAACACTCAGCGTCTTATTGTCCATCTAACTTGATCTGATGAATACCTTCGAGAAGATCTTGCTAGTTTTTAATTCTCTGACAAAACTCTCCTTGTAGTCTCACTGACTCCCACTGATTAATTGGACTCTCATTAACAGTAACTGTCTTGCACTACTGAAAAATTGCACCTCTATTAGTAAAAATAATAACTAGATTGCTCCTTGGTTGTCATTTGTATGATCTCGAGTCCTATTAAAAATGAAATTTTTTTGCAATAAAACTAGAGGAGAATGAATGTGTGAAAATAGATGCATTATCATGTGTTCATGATTCTTCAAAGAACTGAAAATAGTTTTAGGTTTCAAATGAGTTCTAAGCAGATCTAATTATTTAAAAAAGGATTTCCTCAAGTTTCCAGTAATTTTGGCAACCTCTGTTCTCATAACTTGCCCATGATATTTTACCAAAATTAAGAAATTGACAATATCATTTGTTTATAGTATTTAAAATGTAAAGAACTGCCTCCAGGGCATTGTTTTATTGGTTTTGCATTCCTTCCTGCTGTGTTAAAACTAATGAGGCTTGTCTGTCCTTTAGGTGACCTACAAGCGGGATCTGTATGCAGCTGAATCGATTATTAAGGGTATGTGTTTGTCCTTGTGACTGTCAGTTTGCATATTTCTGAGTCTAATTAAGAATCTTGTGTGCTGTAATTTGAAATGTCCTTAAGAAACGTTTTATGATGGATGAAATGTGCTGAGGCAAGTTGTTTTAGCTTGTTCACTGAAATACTTGTATTATGCATATTTACCTTTATTTACTTCTCTTAGAATAGAGAACCTTATAAAAAGCTGTGTATATTACAGTCAAACAGAGATAAATTTTGAATGGCTTTATAAGGAATAAACAATTTATTTTTTTCTTTACTTTGCAGATCAATTCTGAATATGTTCCATCTTTCTAAGCTAGGTAGTAGACTGAAAATTAAACATTAACTCTTTAGGGCTCTTCACTGTCTTACACACAGCCAGTTATTACCTAAATTAATACAGCAACTACATGATATTAAGGTATTTCATTAATTTATAAGTATTTTGTTGAACTGGTTTTTAATCTTTTTTTTGTACTGGTAACAGTGGTTTCATAGCAGTTTAACATAAAGACTGGATTTAGCCTTTATCTAGATTGTTTTTAGAGTGAGTCAGTATAGAAAGGAAGAATTGTCGAGTACTGCATGTATAACGAGCACACCGATGGTTATTGTAAACTGATAGGCAGTGATTCAAGGGACCGCAGAACTGATGAAGAGAAAGGACTTACCCTGGGATTAAAAATACCTTTCCAGAGAAAAGAATGTAGTTCATATTTAAGAAAACTAGAGCAAAACCTGTGTACTCTTAGGACATGGTGAGTGACTGGCTCACTGACACCTAAGTGAACATCGTTCGCTTCGGTGTCTCATCTGTTGTTACAAGCTTAGCTTCTGATTTGGGTAAATTATACCATGCTGAGATCAGCTCTGTCACTACAGACAAACTAGAAAGCCTAAACAGAGCTCAGACATTGCTGTGGTATTCTCTTAGGCTGCTTATCTAGACCTCCAGGTATGCGACAGGTTTGAAGCTTCTGGTTATTACAGTGGTCAAAGACTACATATTATATGCATTGTTAGAACTACCTGACTGAATTTTATAGGCACAAAAGAAGATAGGGCTAGGAAGCCTTGGAAGTTCTGGTTCTGACAGGAAAGGAAGAGCTTCTATCTTCATAGCTGGAAGCCTGGAATTTTTGAAAATGTTTTGTGTAGGATTGTTAGCGATTCCACACTCTTAGCTTTCAAGCTCAGGATTTCCGAACATATTGAAGACAAGAAGGTGACTAGGATTAGTTTACATGAATTTACAAAGCAGAAATTATCCCTGACAAACCTTCTGCAATGAAATATAGAAATAATTGGAGAGCAGTGGATATGGTTTGTCTTGACTTCAGCAAGGCTTTTGACACTATCTCCCATGGCATTCTCATTGACAAGCTGATGAAGTACAGATCAGAAAAGTAGACATGGATTGAAACTGGCTGAACTGCCAGGCTCAAAGAGTAAATTCCAGCTGGAGCCCAGTTACTAGTGGTCTACTCTAGGGATCAACACCAGTTAAAATCTTCACTGATGATCTGAATGATAGGGCAGAGCACACCCTCATCAAGTCTGTAGATGATGTAATATTGGGAGGAGCAGTTGATAGACCAAGTGACTGTGCTGCCATTCGGAAGGACCTTGACAAGCTGGAGAAGTGGGTGAACAGGAGTCTCGTGAAATGCAGCAAGGGGAAATGCAAACTCCTACCCTTTGGAAACACCATTACAGGCTGGAGACTGACCATCTGCAAGGCAGTTCTGCACAAAAGGCCCTGGGAGGTCCTGGTGGAAAGCAAATTGAAGAGGAGCTGGCAGTGTGCTCCTGGGGCAAAGAAGGCCAACAGCTCCCTGGGCTACAGTAGAGCAGAGCATGACCAGCAGGTTGAGGAAGCTGATCCTTCCCCGCTGCTCAGCACTGGTGAGGTCACATCTGGAGTGTCGGGTTCCCTCATCAGGAAAGACATGGTCATTCTAGAGACAGTCGTGCAAAGGGCCATCATGATGATTAAGGTAGTGGAACGTCTGTCATATGAGGAGATGCTGTGAGAGCATGGACTGCTCTGTCTGGAGAAGAGAAGGCTCAGGGGGATCATAACGAACGTGTACAAATACGAGATGGGGCAGAGTGAAGAAGATGAAGCCAGACCCTTTCTCAGTGGTGTTCAAAAAATTATAAATTTGAAACAAGTGAATTTCCATGTTTCTGTATACACAAAGGCTTCAGTAATCTCATAGGTCATTAAAGGAGATTAGTTATAATTTATTTTAAAATTAAGATATATTCCAAGCAGGTTTTCTAAAACTGCTTGTGTAGAAAATGAGAATGCAGCTTATTTGAATGAAAGGAACATTCACTAACTGTTTCTGGAGAAAAAATGCTGTAAATGACCAGACATTCTCTTCATAGATACATATTTTATATGTGTATTTCATCATGTTATCACATTTTTTGTTTTCGCTGAAGCCAGTACAGTCTTTTCCAGCTGATGGTTATAATAAAAAGTTTGTGTAGTTTAAAGTTAAAATGAAGACCTTCATGGTGGCCAATCAGGTTAATCCCTTACTTGATCTCTACTTATCCAGTGTTCTGTTGCTGTAGCAGCATGCAATATATCTACTTCAGTTACCACAGTAGTTCTATTATGCCTGGTGTCTGTGAAAAACTGTACTTTAAGATCACTGAAGTTTAGACTTGCTTCTTGCTGCATTGCATGAGTTCAGGAAGGAGAAGCTGCACATGTTCTTTTCTCCTTATGCAAACAGTATAATGAGTCCTCTGTAGCAAATTAGGACACTGCATAACAGACTTATGTTACATAATTAGTTATCTTTAATGGGGTTTTGAAATGGCACCATTAGTACTCCAAGACTGCAGTTTGAGAGTTGTGCCTTATCTATTTTGTGCCCTTTAAAAGACTTCAAATACCAGATCTTCATGTGGTTATAACATGACTTATTTTGGTAGTGGGCAGTTGAACCATGCAAATAATATTAGACAGGTGCTTTATTCACAGTTCATGCCCCACTTAAAGCTTATTTAGGGGGACAACGTATTTTTGGTACTTTTGAGCATCATTCTTATGTACCCTCATGTGGCTGTGGCATCATCCACAACTTCTCCAGGCAACCTGTTTCAGTGCCTCAACACCCTCACAGTAAAGAATTTCTTCTTAATATGTAATGTAAACCTACTCTCAGGTTTGAAGCCATTCCCACTTGTTCTGTCACTACATGCACTCCTACTTGTCATTCCCCTTTTGTGCCATGTAGAGAGCCTGAAGGAGAAGTCCTGCATGACTCTGTGAAGCTGAGTTGCAAAGTACCAGGTCTTGGAAGAGCACCTTGCCTGGTGCCAAGGCTCTCAGGAGATGTCCCAGAAACTAAATGTATGGGCTAGGAGGGTGTAGGGTGCAAAGGGGTCTGGCCTCACACCAGATCCACACTACTGTTGCAGTCTTCACAACTGATTTCTTTCTTACTAAGTTACCCAATTTACTGTGCTGGATGCACATTTTATCACTGGATGAATTCAGTAGTGATGAGGAACTTTTGAGTGTACACATCTAATTTTTTGACTACAATTCCAAATTTTATGTAATCTACAGTTTATATTTACTAGTCATTGAAACTTTTGGTTTCCTTCAACAGTTCAACAACTTTGAGCTTGCTAAACTTGACTCAGATGGAAATAAGAAAAACATACATACCTAAATACATTTTTGTACTTTAGATATTTATATGTATGTATATCATTCTTATTAAGGCAATACAAAGAAACATTTCACTAATGTAAATAGACTAATGAGTTGTTTTTCTTTTGAGACTGTTTTCTTAAAACATTTCTTAATAATTTGTTAACTTCCTCAAGTCTTTTTTATAACCGTATTATGAAAGTCTGAATCCTAACATCCTTTGTTTTATAAACAGCAAATGTAATACTTTTATTTAGTTAAGCAGGTATAAACTTGTAGAGTATGCAGACAAGGTGGCACACGCCTATTTTTAATAGTCTTGAAGTAAGAAAACATTGTCTTACAATAAGCATGACTCATCTAGAAAGGTAGTTAGGATCAGGTTAATACAAAACATCCTAAAAAAATTCCATTAGGACTACTGCCCTCAGGGTAGGTATCTTTGAACTCTAGTTCCAACATGTAAACTTTAAATGATACTTCTCAGTAGAAGTTTATAACTTACAGTTTGACTCACCGTCCTTCTCCTTTTCTTAAGGGCCCTTCTTTTTCAATGACTTTTTCACAAGAGACTTCACTTACAGATTGGATATTTTGCCCTCACATGTGGCTAAAGAAGTGTCTGTTGATGTAGGTACAATTATGTTTTTGCAAGTGCCAAGAAAAATATCTTAATGCCTTCAAACTGTTTATAGTTCTTGAGAACTACATATTATGATTTGGGTTCTGTGAAGAAACCATGTGATTTTTTATAAAAATAAAAATTGAGGTAAGCGTTGTTTATCAAAGGACAGAGTTCTTACCTGAGGTAGACTGCATTTTCATGGGCATGCTCATGAACTGGTGGCTGTTCTCTGCTGTGAGGCAAAGAAATAGACTGTCAGGTGGGGAAATGCTCCTTGGAATAGTTACTGTCAGGAGGAAATAACCTCCTTTCTTATCTTCTACCACAAAATCTTCCTTTCTTTCTTGTATACAAATATTGGTTGGGGCAGTGTCAAGTCTGACACTTAGTTTCTGAGGCTACAGAAACATGTGGAATGGGTAAAAAAAAATTTTAGATATTTTTGGTTACCTATGTTGTTTGGATAACAGTTTAAACTCATTCTGTTGAGCTTGAATGAACTAAATGCTCGGCATTATTTCATTTTTCTTGGGTTTACAGTGGTAGCATCTGATATGGTTTGAAGCTGGCTCCCTGCCAAGTCTCCAAACCTTACCACAAGAAGTCCCCCCTCCCCCCAAACCTCAGAGAGAAGAGGGAGAAAAACAACCAAGAAAACCCAAAATGAGAGAGAGAGCTAAAGCAATATATATAAATATATTTACACTTATGTTACAATTATATACAATTGAAATATATACAATTTCACAGGGGAAAGGGAAGGGGGAAGGGAAAAGGAACAAAACCAAAATAAAATATATATATATCCCAATCAGTAGCCCGAGATCTAGTAACTAAAGAGTTAGCAAAGAAATATCCCACCACTCTCCTTGGGACAACCGAGAGTCGCTCCGGGACGATCGCCGGCAACCTCCGTCTCCCAAGGTCGACAAGGCCTTACCAGGCCTCGCTCCCCAACACGGCAAACTCAACAGCAGGGAACCTGCACCTCCAAGCTGCTGGAAGGAGAGAGAGCGAAGGCCTTCCCTCCTTTCTTCTTATAGTCTGGATTACATAAAAATCGTAGGGAATACTGGGTAAATCTGGACCCTTCCTTGGTTACAGACTGGTCACCAAGGAAGGCCCAGACCAAACTACCACACATCTGATAACAAAGATGTTTCTAAGGATGCCAGGGGGAACCATATTGAATTTCCAGACCAGTCAAGCCATTGCTATGTAGAAAGTGAAAATGGAATTCTAGTAAATTAATTTACTTCTTTGAATTCATTGCAAACTTCAAAATTTTGATAAATAGGATGTGCTTCCAAAATAATAGGAATGGTAACGGCAGACCAAGAATGATGTGGAATGAGCATATGTATGCAAAACCAAGTGTATGTATACAAACCTATGTGCAATAAGGAGAAAAAAATTATGTTTGTAGGATAAAACCTATTTACCATTCAGATGCATTTTTTTTTCTTATGACTTTAATTCCCTAGGATATGATACTTATGATCTTTATTGAAACAAAGTATTATTTTAATTGCTGCTTGTTTGTGGCATGCTTTTCAGGGTAAATCTTTAAGTCTTGCATTACAGTGCACTTAATACGCTATCTAACTAAGGTAGTTAGTTCCATAAAGATGCACACAATTTATAATTGGGTAGGATGGTAGGATAAAGACTGTGGCAGGTGTTGCCAAATAATAATGTGATCTAAAGCTTTCAAGATATCAAAGAGGGGCATGGAAAACTTGAAAATTAATTTTTCTGATGGAGTTAAAAAAGAAAGGGATGTGTAGTGGAACACATTCTGGAATTCTCTATCAAATTTAGCTTTAATGAAAAAAAAATTCCTGATAGGGAAATTTAGTGCTTAAATTTGGCAGTGCAGGGTTTTAACTATTTTTTATATTATGCAAAAAATATACTCTGAGTGGATGTTAAAAGTGATGGATGAGATCAAATGTGATACGCTTAAATAGGGAGCATTATTCCATAATCGGGTACATCTGGAAAGAAGGTGAGAGTTAATGGGAGAGGAGTATTGGAAGAGGAGGTTTCCAGGGAAATAATAGGTTTAAACTAAGTTGAGGACAAGGAAGCCAAAGCAAGGTAGAGAGTTTGATATGGAATGCAATAGTGAGAAAAGAACAAAAAAAATGGTTTGGTGGATGAAAAGGAAGTTATGGTAGAAAGTAGGGAAGTAGAACAGTGGTGCATTGTAGGGGGACAAGAGGTAGTAGACAAAAACTGAACCAAGTGAAGTTCCAACTCAAGAAAAAGGAAAAACTCTTCCACCATGAGGACAATTAAGCAATGAACAGGTTGCCTGGAGATATTGTGCAGTCTCTGTCTTTGAAGGTTTTCAAGTGTGGGAGGGGCAAGGGGCTGAGTGACACCTCATGGGTGATCCTGCTTTGAGAAGGAGTTTGGACTAGAGACCTGAGGTCCCTTCCAGCCTCAATTATCCATGGTCTGTAGGAAAACAAGATGGTTTTAGCTGAGTATTAAAATTCTTTGTGACATGGCCATCATGTGGCTTTCCAGAATGGCTGTTTCATTCACTCAAACAGAATTCTGAAAACCAGGAATGAAATGCTGCATGCACTTAGATTTACTGGCAGGCAGCAGAATTCATGGAGTTACTAGCCAGCACTCCAGATGTGCTTGCTGTGTTCAGCATGATTACATTGAGCCACGGAGCTCCATCAGCTTACCAGAGGTGGGACACAGGCAGTCTTGGGGAGGAAGGCTCCACTCGGTTTTTCTTTCCACAATTCAGCAAAGGTGCAAACTGTCTAAATTAACACAGAGGTCTTTGACCACTTGTAACAGTTTGGACTTAAATGGAAAATGAGTTTCAAACCTCAACTAGAACATAACTGTTGCTTTGCTATGCTGACTTTATACATGATGATTTCCTAGCCTTCCTTTATATGCTTCCTTGATCATTTAAAAGCATACAATATCTTTTCAATTTGTGTATTATCATTATTTTAATGTTCTCATACTTTATTAATAGACTTTCCCCTTAGAACATTACATTCCTTCTCCAGACTAAAAATACATTTTTCCACACTTCATTGAATTTTCTCTCTTCTTTATTAAATTCAATCTGCATATCTTAGTCACTTTTTTGATAATTGCCTCTCTTATTTGTTGCAGGAAGTTAGAGGTCTAAGAGGGCTGGAGAGAGGAGTGAGATGGGTCTTTATAGCTGCAGTCTTTGAGCAGCCTCTTGTGAGATTACTTTTGACACTTACTGTTGATTACAGACTTCTTTTTAAAAGAGCTGTCTGAGCCTAAGTTATGGTGCCTTTTGGGGTTCCACAGCCTTCTTCCACATGTGCATTTTTGTAATAGTTCCAATCTGACCTTCTTCATTAAATTACTTAGTTCAATAGAATCTGAGTTCTTGAAATCTGATATGCCAGTCTGGTTTATTATGTATATCTATCTTGTATCTGCATTCCATGTACAGTACTAAATTCAAGTGACTCTTGCTCTGATTTAAATCTACCCACTGGTTTCTTTCTGGTGATAAAAAATTAATTCAATATGGTTTCCTATTGAACCATTTTTCAGATGGTAAAATTATTCTGTATTAAGTAGAAGACAACTATGATGCATGTTCAATATATTTTTTTACCTAGTGAATCTATGGGAAGATAATTTCTCCTGCAGTTGTGGTATCCTGTGATTTCCAGTCCTGTGAGAACTGGCCATACATTTTTTTTTAATTCTCACTTTCATCTGGTTGTGATGGTTTATAAGCAGATGTTCATTGTTCTCTCTCTTTCTTCCTCCCTCCCCATTCTTGCTAACTGAATATGAAGTCAGTTGCTACCACTGTTTTTGTTGTCACATTATAAATATTGGACATAATAAATACAAACGATTCAAAAAATCATTCTAATTATTCTTTGTGATTCTCAGCGGTTAATTTACTTTTCCTTCTCACAGAAAATTACTTGAAAGTTACAAGACACTTTCCAATAATGTTAACTCTACAACAGCTTTAAAATTAATTTTCAGGTCTTTATGTCTATTTTTGTAAAGAAGTCTTTGAGTTTACAGTAGAAAGTGAGTTGTTTACTTAAGGACTGCATCTGAATGAACTTACTGTGTGGTATGTAATTATAAAAAATCTTTCCACATGCAAAAAATATGTGTCCTTATATTCAGACTTGTTTGAAGAGCACTTACACCACATTTTTATAATTTCTCTTATGTCTTTCACTACTAATTTATTTTGTGGTGGTGTTTGGTATATTTCTGTCCCTGAATTTTCATTGAAATCTGCTTTAAATGTAATTAGACTTTACATTTGTGACATTTCTCTTTACTTATGCAATGGCTACCCCAAAAACATTAGAAATCCTGTCTTTTGCTCTGCATAGTAATTCAGCATCTAAAGGATAAATTTCTGAATTACAGCTGAGAATTTCAGACTTGAATTATTTTGATTTATTTGCTTAAAGAAAGGAAAATGCTCACCAAATCTAATACCTCTAGTCAATAACTAGAGAAAATACTAATTTTCTGAACTGTGGGCTTTATGGAACAGATCAGGCAGTAACTTGAAACTTGATAGCAACAAAATACTATATTTTCCCGCACCAGTAAAAGATCTAGGAAATTGCCCATTCCATGATCTTTGTCAGTGACTCTTCGGCTTCTTTGATGTTGCGGTGAATAGTTAGTTATATTTGCTGTCTCCCTGAAAAGTATTTTCAATATACTTTTTGGGGGCGATTTTGTAGTGCATATTGTTGGGAAGCAGATTTATGCTATCCCCTGGTTTTTTGGTTGTGTTTTTTTTCTTTTCTTTTCTTTTCTCAGTATTGCTTATACTGCATTCAGTGATCTGTTGAAGTGATACGTCATATGAACTTTTAAAAACATTTTCTTGATTGTCATCTAGTGTCATTAATGTGGACCTGAGAAATATCTTGTAAAAGGAATCCCTTATTTAAATGGGCTTTGGGGACAGGCCTCATGAGATGATTTCACATTGCAGATAATCATAAAAAATATAAACTGAATTTTATATTTGAAATGTATGTTATACAAATTATGTAGTTAGATTAACTGTGCCTTGAAATAAATTTACAGCTGTTGAAAAGGTTCTGTCGAGAGACAGCAATATGGATTGAAGATAATGTTTAGCAGATTGGTAACTTTGATTGATTTATTTTTTGCATGAAATACTAAGGTTTCTTTTTCAATCACAGACAACCTTTCACAAGAAGTTTGTGTTATTACCGATGCAAATGAAACTGTTGCACAAGTTGGTTTTCTCCTTCCTGAATCTCTGAAAAGACGAATAAAAGTAAGTGCATCTCTATGGCTTTCAACTGTATGACTAATTTAGTGTTTCTGGTTGCCACTACTCATAAGAAATGGCCTAAATAATGTGAATACAGAAACTGAGACTTCCTGTGTCACCGTAGTATTTATTACTGTCATGGTTTGAGATTCCCAAAATCCAATTCCCTAGCTCAAGCCCTCCTCCCACATCTCAACCTAGTGTGAGATGTGTTTTTTTCCCAGACAAAACACGAGACTCAAAGTGGGGGAAAGGGAATATATTACAATGACTGTACAAATAAATATTATAATACATTATACACATGATCTCAACTATCTCTACCATGACATAAGTATTTACAATGGATCAGATCTCCCCTCCAAATAAAAGTCCAGGAGGGAAGAAGGACAGATCCCTTCTAGTCTCTGAGCAGCAGGATCTTCTACAGCAGCAATCTGTCCTCTTCACATGCAGCAGCTGATGGCTGGACTTCTGCCAGCACTCACGAGGGGGAAATCCAAGCCCCTCTTGGCCCCTTGATGCAGGCAAAGGGGTCTTCCGTGGGCTACGTTCACCCCAGACAAAGGTCGTTCCACCACGGTCATACCATGAGACACAGGGGGTCTTTGTGACGGTCTAGTATCTTCAGGGGACTAAAGCCCCTTGCAGAGCTTCTGTGCCCTGTCTCAAGATGGCTGCGAGCTTCTTTGTAGCTTGCAGCAAGGGAGGGCCCCAAGGTCAACCTCCACACACTGTCCTGGCTCATAAGTCTCAGGACAAATGAGCTTCTTAGCCCCTCTCTCTCCAGTGCTGCAGTACTCCAAGACTCCTCTCCTTAAATAGGAGTCCATCTCCCTCCTTTCTCGGAGGTCTCAGAGGGGTATGGGGTTTTATTCCAGTTCTTACCCCAGCTTCCTCTCTCCCTGCTGCTCTCTCTCCAGACAACTTTGTATCTTCCTTGGCTGCACGCTGTTTTGCTGCTCCTACAGTTCAGTTCTTATCTGTCCTGGCTCTCTGCCACCGTTTCTCTGGTCAGTGCCGGCTGCCGCTACTCCTGCCGCTGCCCAGGGTGGAGAGAAAACTCCCAACCTTCATAGCTACAGATACATAGTCCAGCTTAACACTGTTCCAAGTCTCCATAGCCCCCTTGCTGGGGCTGGGGGAGGGGGCAGAGGCCCCCCAGAGGGCTCCTGCCCTCTCCTCGTGGCTCTTACAACATGGCTACCTCTTCTACCACACCCAAACTAAAACTTCCCTTCTCTTCTGTTTGGTTGTGATATGTTTATATTTTGCAGAAGCACTCACTGGCTAAAACTTCAAAACTTCAAGGCTTACCACCCCCTGGGGGTTACCACTTTATAACTACAGGGGGAAAACCTGGTTCAAACCACTACAATTACATGGGATTAACACCAGGTGTGGAAGTTACCAAGAAAGAAGCATCTTCTGCCCAGTTAGGCAGTAGAAGGGGATCTTACAGATCCACTTAAAATGTATATATTAGATTAGAGAAGAAATTGAATCCAGACAACGGAGAGGCCATTTTCTTTAGATTTTATGAATTCAGTAAGCCCAAATTGTTACAAATATGTTACAGAGGAAATGCTTTTGTTACTTTGAAATTAAAGTCTGAACCAATTAAAGAGTAAGTTGTTTTCCTGCAGAGCTGCAAGTGCAAAATCTAATTAATCAGTTTTTTTGTAGAGTCCTAGGGGTACATTTCACTCACAGTGAATGCACATTGAAGCCTTTGCTTTAGGATACTGATGGAATTTTCTACTGTCATTTAACTGCCTTTTTCCTTTTTCATTATTCCTTCTAATAGAGCTATCATATTTCCATTTTCCCAAAGGTGATTAACATTTGGTAATTGGTTAGATTTTGCCTGGTCTTGGAGTGATTCTTAGTTGTATCTTATGTGATGATATTACATCTTCCTATTACCTGGAGAAACTGCCAGGGAATAGTTCAAAACCACAGGTTTCCTGATTTTCATAGTGTTACTTCTGTAATGGTTGTATTCATGTGTGTTGATCTTCTGCATGGTGTACTTAGTTATTAGAATGATATTCTTCTCTAGCAAACTGTATTGGTATTTTATATCTAGAAATCTCATTTGATGTTGCACTTACAGTTTTTGTTTAGAAACAATTATATTTAATATGGAATCATGCTTTATGTCTATCAAATGCTATATTTATAAGTCTAAGACATTATCAGAGTTGAATAAGATCTTTTTTGTCTGAATAAGTGTATAATAGAGCAGAAGTATGTAATCATTTCACTAACACCATCTCCGTTGCTATTTCTTCTTTTTTGTCTGCATGTGAACTATTCTGCAATTAGTAGGAAGACATCACTTATTCATATACTTCTTTAAGTGTTGACTTATCTGTATCTGTTAATTATGGTTGCATATAATCCCTTTGATCATACCATGAGTAGCACTTCCAAACCAGTAAGAGAAATCAGTGCATATGTCATGTTTGATAACCAGCACTGTAACTTTGAACTGAACAACCCCAGATCAGAACTAGTTAGAATTTACAACATGTTGCCAAATTTTCATTTCATAACTGGTTAATTATTGGGTGAGTCAGGCACCTGAACCTATGGTGCATTTGAATAAAACACATGTAAAATGAACTCAAACAAGGTAATGAGGACATGAAATTGAAGGGATTCTACTGATATAGGACTGATTTTTTTTTTAATGGCTCTATTAAATCAGTTTATTTAATTGATTTCTAGCACTGTTCCTTGAAACATCCTTCAGTATTCATTTAATGAAGCTTTAGGGTTAAAATCTATAAAAATCATGTATTGTATTGTTTTTAAACAATAAAATTGCTAAGTGTTAATTCATAAGGTTACCAATATACAGAACTCCTAAACTTAGAAGGAATTTTGTGTTGGGGGCACACTTCTGGTGCCCCCAAAATAAGAAGCACATGGAACTATTGGAGCAAGTTCAGAGGAGGGCCACAAAGTCAGTAACGCAACTAGAGCACCTCCCTTACAAAGACAGGCTGAGAAAGTTGGGGCTGTTCAACCTGGAGAAGAGAAGGTTGTGTGAAGACCTCATAGCAACCTTCTGATATCTGAAGGGGGCCTTCAGGGAAGCCAGAGGGGGATTCTTTGTCAGGAAATGTAGTGATAGGACAAGGAGTAATTGGTAAAAACCGTAAGAGGGAAAATTTAGCTTAGATATACGCTTTACTGTGAGGATGGTGAGGCACTGGAACAGGTTGCCTGGAGAAGTTGTGGATGTCCCATCCCTGGAACTGTTCAAGGCCAGGTTGGATGGGGCATTGAGCATCCTGGTTTAGTGGAAATTGTGCCTGCTCACGGTGGGGCAGTTGGAATTAGATGATCTTTAAGGTCCCTTCCAACCCAAACCATTCTATGATTCTATGATATCCACTGGCCTATGATTTCTTAAATGAAGCACTGTAAACTTGTGAGAGAGAGAGATTTCATTTTGTGCAGTGTGATAATTATTTTAAGCAAGTTAAATGTACTACACTGAAAGCTGGGCCTTTTCAAAGGGCGAATTGGAGGGTAACTATCTAAATAATAGACCAGTAGGGAATCATTCAGTAAAGTACTTATTACCTGAAATTTGAACTAAATTTATTTTAACATTTTAGCCAGTTTTGACACTAATACTTAGTAGCAGCCATATTTACTTTTGAGATATCTCTTGACTCCTATATGTATCATTAAAGAAGAATTTAAAAGAAATTTTGTTTGAGGGATTTCTGAGAGAGGTTCTAATAACATGATAATGCCAACAGCAGGGGGGAAAAAGACCTAAAAATAGAACTGATAGAGAAAATGAAAATAAAAACTTTTTTAAAAAAATTTTTTTAGGCAACAGTTATTGCTTGCAAAGTACTTTAAGAGTATTTTAATCACTGTTACTCTAAGCAGTATAACTAAGGAATTAATGTTTTGCTCAAGATATGTTACTTTGAAAGACATAAGTTGAATCTTTCCTTAAGGTTGTTATTTAGCCCTTTCTTTTGAAGCAGACAAACCTAAATGGGGGCTGAAGGTGTTTTCTTCTGTGACTGGAAATTACTCTTGCTTTTTCAGTGACAAGGTACTGCTGTCACATGAAATGCAATCAACTGGATAAAGTTGTGTGTTATTTTTGTGAATGGATAAATATCCACAGGTTGCATATAAAAATATCTGGTTGCTTTCAAGTAGGAAATGAATGAGCATTTCACTAGTAGAAATTCACTAATTTCTTAATGATTGTGTTGTCTCTCTGCTGGATTGGTATTAATTGTAATTTTAAATTCTGATATAATTTAAATAACTTTTACAGCTTCCCAATGTCTTGGGATAAATTTTAGATTTTATGAAAGTGGATGCTGAATAAAGTTGAAACTTCAGCACAGGCCATCTGATAAGTAAAAGAAACATTAAAGAAAACATATTTATAATTCCTGTTTTCATGTTCCTGCCATCGTTGCTTCTTGAACTAGCTGAATATCAACTGGTACAAGGACCAGAAGTAATTTAGCAAATCCATATGCTCTTTTCTATTTAAACACTGAAACGCTGTGTGACAATCACTTTTTAACAAAGTGGTATTTTTAGGTAATTTTTGCTCTCTCAAGTAGATGATAACAATGATTAATATTAATTTTAATTTTAAAAAATACTTTTGCATAGGATACTAACATGCCAGATAGAATAAGAATTAGTTTTAGTTAATTGATGATTTATTGAAGCTTCTAATTAGGCAACTGTGCTTTCTTTTCCAACAGAGGAATTTGATTTATTTTTTTCTGAAAAATATGACTGTAAAAAATGCTTAGTTTGCTACTTTATCAAATTGTGAAGTTAAATCAAAATTCTGATACACTATATGAATTTTTAAATGTTCAGAAATACTTAAGCATATTATAATATCTCAAAGGAAATAATAGAAGTAGGCCTTCTGCCTTGGGTCATGTTCCAAATACCTTCTGAAAAGACTCTGGCATGCAGTGTGCTCCTGTTCCTCAAAGTATATGCAAGGTTGTAAAGGTACCAGGAATTTCTGATTTTACGTCTGCAGAGGTTCAAACCAGGAGAGCCCTGGAGTATTGCATTTTTCAAGTATTTTTAAGTAATGCATACCTTCTGTGAATTTTTTTTTAAAACCTCTTAAAATATTAAAAGTCAACTATCTGGGGCTATGTTATCAAAATTTCAACCCAAAATGTTTCTGAAATCCTTAGAACATAAATATCAACTTTTGGGTTTTAAACCACCTTCCTTTGCAAAAAGTTAACTCCCTGAGTATTAAAAAAATAAACAAATACAGCTTTGGATAATATTGCAAAGCCATTTTAAATGTTGTATTTGGTACTTCTGTTGGATTGTGGATTAAGTGACATTTCGAGGGAATACAGCAGTGTATTGCTTCTGTCATTTTCTGTGATATATAATATGTCTTTTGGCCAGAAATAAAGCTCAGTTGAGCAGTGGAACGAGGGGTTTGCTGCTTTGATAGAAGCAATATGAAGTTGGGGGGTGTTTGCCTTATTTTAAAGATCTTTTATTTACTTCAAAGTGTTATTTCCTGCTGGGGAACAAATTCCCCCTCTACTACCTGGTTTGCTTTTTCACTTAAGGCAATCCTGAAGCTGATAATGTAGTAGAATCTACATTTTCTTTTAGCTAGAATAAGATAGTTTCTTAGCTTGTGTCACAGGTTGCAAAATAAGATTAATACAGTATTTTAGAGTATTCACTGAGGAAATATTTTCAGAAGAAACTCTAGATGAGTCTTGTTGTATCCTAGAATACCAATACCAGTACACCTGGTCTTTCATGCATACTTAATTTTTATTTTTAGCTCCATGAAGACAAAATACCTAGATATTTGAATATTATAGACATTTTTCTCAGAATTAGAGATCTAAAATCATTAGATCATCTTGATCCTGTGGCAGTTGAACATCCTAACCTGGGCAGCAGCACTTGTGTCTGATGCTTCCAGGGCTGTTTCTGCTGTTTCCCTAGCAGAATGCTTCAGCACAGGTTGGGCTCCATGCTTCACTGTTGAGTCATCTAAAAATCTGAGCAAATTTCAGTTCTTGTAGTGGAAATAATAACTGCCATTTTAAAATAATTTGAATGAACAAACTCTGCCATAGTAGTGAAAGCTTTAACAGAGAGTTAAGGCTGAAGTAAAATTTGTGACTTTTTTTTGTCTCATCAGGTTGAAACTGTATCAATATCTAAAAGCAGAAATTATAGCCATCTACAAAGCATCTTTTCAGGACAGTGCTACAATTTTGTTTGTGTAAATGTAAGTAGTAAGGATGCATGCTTTTACTTGTGCACTTAAACTTGTTAGTAATGGTAAATATAAAGCATCTGAATAGTGAGTTGTTTATTATTTCTGTCCTTGTGCTGTATCCATTCTATAGTTTGATGTTTCTGATGCACACCAAACTGGACTTTTGAGCATAATTATGTTGTTAAACCAGCCATGCATTCTTGAACAAGAGGGATGAAACTGAAAGTGGTTGAAAATTCCCTTTCATAGATGTTGTATTGAAGTGAATTTTCTCAAGGAAAGTCTGTCATATGCGTAGTCGTCTAACTGTGCATTGCCACCATGGTCTAAATTAGTGTTTCCCATTCTGGACACATGCATGCCATGCAATCTGTATTTGGGTCACAGTATGGGAACAGGAAGGTTCCCATGAACCATAGATGAAGCATATCTAAGACCAATCAAGACCCTTAATTTTGTTTTATGTATAGATATTTCTTAAGGGTAATATTATTAATCTCCATTTTTTTCAAACAGCTATAACTTTACTAAAGAATATCATTACATCTGTATATTAAAACCTGGCAGCTAACCAACCCCAAACCCCCAAAACAAAAAAAGTGATGTACTGGTTTTTTTGTTTTCTTTTGTTTTGTTTTTATATTGTTGGTGGTGGTGGTGATTTTTTTTTTCGTGAATGACAGATCTTTGAATTCTATTTTTATAGTTTTTATGATAGTTTTTTATATAGTTTTGATGTTTTCCATAATTCTAGACATTTATTTTCATTTAGGATAAAAAGTGTGCCATTCAAGAAACCCAGCAACTAGTGCATATGTTGGAAGAATCAGATATTCCTCTCTTATATCCAGTTGTCCTTATTTCGGTAGGTAACTCCTGTAAGTTACTGTAGAAAGGATCTCATGATATTTTTTAAATATTAGACTAGGCTTAAACTTCCACTAGCTCAGAATAAAATTGTAAATTCTAGCTGTAAATTGGACTCTAAAGAGCCTCATTTGCACTTCAACAAGTGCATGCTGTCAGGAAATAAACTGACACTCACAAATGACAATTTATTAGTTATATATTTCTATGAAAGACTCATTGTGGCTGGTTGGTTGTATTGAACTATTAACTCCTGCCTTACTGTTGGGCTCCATCTCTGCTGGGGATGCTGCAAATCATGTGTTGTGCTTAAATGCTGAGATGAAACAGAATTAAGTGGCTTTGTTTTTTTCTATGCTATGTAGTTTATTCAAAGTTTTAAAATTATTGTTGCTTTTCTGATCCAAGTCTTAAAAATTAACTTTTAAGTACTTTGCAATATAACTAGTACATACTTTACTTACTGAGGTGTTGTAAGACTGAAAAGTCTATTCTGGTATATTGCAAAAGTTTTAAAGTGTAATTTTTACTGAATTTTTCATTGTTCGAAATGAATGCCAGAATAATAATGAATCTTAATATTTGAAATGAATACCAGAATAATTTACCAGTTTATGCAAATGACAGCTGAAGTGTACATGACTTTTATTTTGTTCAGACTGTTAAAAAGCAGAAAATATGAGTAGATTTGAAAGTCTCCATGCAGTGTAACCAGCTCCAATTAATTCTATCATTTTGTTTTCTGGCTTAATAGGTAGGGGTGAGAAGTATTGGGTGGAATGAAAGTCATTAATGCTGTCTGTCACAAAGAGTGTGCCTCTGGACTTCATTTATTACACTCTCCAGCAATAACACAAGATAATACGTTGTGATTTTAAAGTATAATTCCATATATGAAGCTTTTGCAAAAGGAATATTTTTCATGGGTCCTGAATAGTTACTAAAGTGCACAGTGTAGTGACCTGGGGGTAAAACTGAGCATTTACTTTGGAATTTTAGCTTAAACTGAAATTTAAATGATGAAATTCAATTACTGAACTTACAACTAAACGAGATATCGTGAAGATTTATTACTTTTACAAAGGAAAAAAGTTGCGTAGAATCACAAAATTAGTTTAGAAAAGACTTCTAAGATCATCAAGTCCAACTATTAACCCAGCACTGCCAAGTCCAGCACTAAACCATGTCCCCGAGTGCCACATCTACACATCTTTTAAATACCTCCAGGGCTGGTGACTCAACCATTTTCCTGGGCAGCCTCCCATTCAGTTACCCATTTACAAGGCTACTGGATGTGAAAAATGCTCTTTTCTGGACTGAGAATGTTTTCATTAGTCTTTTATATCAACAATATAAAAAAACATTTCTGTCTGTGTTAAATTTTGGGGGTGTGCAGATAAAGTTGAAATTGTTCATCAACCAGCTAAGGTATTAAAAGCATGCTTATTTTGTGCCCGATTCTTAGCTACTTTCTGGCCAGGACTTTGAATTAAATATGTTTTTTAGTGTGATGCACGGAATGTGAGAACTTAATATTGTAGCTATAAATATTCTGGTCTTAATATCTAAGAAGCAAGTATGAATGCAGATAATGCTTCACTGTGAAACTTGGGGTTTGCCCCTGAGATACTACACCTTCAAATCATTGTAGAACCCAGCACTGTTTTTAATGAAAGTGTACTTGCTTGAGCAGCTTGCTGCATGCACAAATTGTTCAGGTGAACTCTTTCTAAAATAGCCTTAGGAGAAAATTATACATTTAAACTTCTTCCTATACCCCAGATCCGGCAACTACTTGAAATTTCCCAGAACTAGACAGCGGATAAAAGTCTCATAATGAGGTGGAAACAGTTACTGACATTTAAAACATAGAGACACATATATTTGTTAAAAGTATTTTTTAAAAATGACATACCCTAATTGCAAAGTGGTGCTACACTTTCATTTGATGGAAGTACCACACTATCTTTTAGAAATACGAGAAGGAATAAATAGGAAATCTGGAAGTTATGTTTTAAATTACTAAAGAATTAGTTAAACAAATCATTATCTCATATTAATCACTAGGAAGCATTGAAGTCCTTTAAACTTCTGATCCCTAAAACTCATTACAGATGGTATGGGGGACAAAAATTTCCTTCAGTGGTTTTTAATTAAAGTCAGTGTTGGGTGTCCTTTTCACTAAGGCCCATGAGTGGGATTTTCCTCTGCTTTATTCTTTCCTATATACTTTGCTTAACATATAACCTGAAAGAATTGTTCATGAAAACTCCTATAAGATACTTTCTTTTGACATAAAAGGGCATATTAATAGTTCTCAGACAAATGTGAATCACAATTTTAAGCAATACAGTGACAATTAAATGCATAGGTCTTAGGTACCAGCTGGAAGGGAAACATTATGCATTTCTAGTCTCAAAAGCAAAACTCTTTCTGGTAGTGAAGAATTGAAAGCATAAATGACGAGAGCAGCTAACTGCTTCAATTCTAAACTCATAATTAGGAACAGTCTAATGTAGACTTCTGTGTAATTGGAAAATTCTTGTCTGTTCTTTGATTTCACAACACAAGCAACTTTTTCATAACAATCTGATAATTAAGAGAAAAAGTTTTATTTTTCCTTCCAGTAGTCAGCTTCTTTAGTTGTAAAAGTGACAGGTGTTATTGTTGTGCCAGATTGTCTGTTTAACCAGCCTGGGGAGCCTTGTCCCAGTAAAAGGATGAGCTTGCACTGGACATGATGACTTCTGTCCATATTCCCGCCTGTCAATTGCCACAGATTTCAAAGTCTGTCCTTTATCTTGGTGCCTGACTGGATTATTTTGAGGCATCTGTAAGCTGAAGCAGCAATTGTACTGCTGTATTTGGACAAAAGGAAAGATTAATATTACAGGAGAAATAGGAAACCCAGAAGTAAATTTCATGCAATTATTAGTTTGCATCAAGCCAGTGTCCTCTCCACCTCTGTTATAACCAAATTAATTATACTCTTAAACTGACGTTACTTTTTTGAGCAATACATATTTGTGTTTGTAGAAGCGATGAATGGCTATGATTTTTATTTTGTTGCTATAACTTACCGTTAGAAAGAAAGGAATACTGGTACTTCAGCTCTGTAGGTGGAATACTTTGCATTTCAGTACAAAAGTAAGTTTGAGAAAAATCTCTTTTTAAAGCTGTGAAACAGGTTAATGGTAGAGAGGAGATAGGTTAAGTTCTCTTAAAATAATAAGTTTTATAATTTCTTGTAAATGGCTGTAAATGAGCAGTACTTAGCTTTGTTTTGGGTAAAAAATAACAAAACAGTGAGTATGTGAAAATTAATTTCTGCTTGTGTAGTAGAAGACTATAGCTTTGCTTCTGGTGAGTATGCAGTTGGACAATATTGCTAGGAAAAATGGATGAAGACCTATTTGTTGTCAGGATAAATTGAACATAAGGTACAAAGAGAACTTGAAATAATTTTCCCAAGCGCTGGTCTCTGGGACAACCTCTATACTTCTACTTCTGTGTACTGGTCACAGATAAATTTTACATCAATGGAATCATTCAGCCAGAAAAACGTTCTTGTTTTAGGGAAGAGGTGTTTCTACTGTTAATAGATGCCAAAACTTTATATGTACGAATCATCATCCTTAATTTGATTTCTACAGTTAATAGAAGCTTTGTAAAGTAAATTGATTAAACTATGGAATACAGAAGCCTTGGGAAAGGGTTGAACTAGTTAATAACTTCCCAGGAAATACTAGTTCAGATCCCGTTAGGCCCACCATGTTTGTGCAGTATCCCTGATGGATATGAGACCTACCTTTCCCTGACCAGGAGCTCAGGATAGTCGTATCTCTGTCTTCTTTTGAAGTAGTTTCTGCTTTTTAAACTTGAAGCGTTATCTTGAAATTAATCCAATTTAGGCAACTAATATGCTATACTGAAAGGATAGTAAATTCAAAATAAAACTTTAAAGAATGTAACTCTTGAAAACCTTGAAGAGGCTTAAGAAAAACACCTGTATTTCTGTAGTACCCTGATAGTAAAAAAAAACAACAAACCCCAACCAACTGTGAAAGCTAGAATAGAACTTAGAAAAGAATGCTGTTTGTTTTCTGATTTAATTGAATATTTTTAAGATGCAGTTATTACATTGTATTTTGATGTGTTCTGGTTTCATTGTGTTTTGAAAAGAAATAATTTTCATGTCACTAAATGTATAAACAGTGGAGTTCCATAGTAATAGAAGCTAGCTAAGAAAAACATTTGTTAGCCTGTATTTTTATGTGTGCTTAACATAACACTAAAACATAACAAAAAATTGGCAGTCTAGAATGGCATAATATGGAAAAATTGGATTTTTTTTCCCTTATTTGTTCCTTTCCAGGTGTACTTGGATATATCAGGAAATAATTCTTTCAGCATTGGGATGGAAGAACTAGCTAGCATCAAGAAATTTGCAAGGGAAACTAAAAAGAAAAACATTTTGGTTTATGGTGTCCTTATCCAATATAAGGTATGTAATTATTTTTCTATGTGCAAATTATCTTCTTTTGCCATTTATATGATTAATGGTAGAATCTTCATTTAAAACAAAATCAAAGGGAAATAAATGTGACTTGAAAAGGATTTTTTTGAAGATTCTTGCCTGTTCTTGTTCAAAATTCAGACAAGCCTGTAGTTATAGGCAAAAATGTAAGCTTTTTGATTTGGGAGGAATAAATGGTAAACATTTTTTAGAAGCACATAAAAACATCAGGGCCCGTTTTGCTTTTCTGCTTTGAAACTTGCTTTGTGCAGCGTTAAAAAGGTAAAAAATAGTAAAAGTGCATTCAGTCAGTGGTTCAGCAGTATTTTACATCCCTCATCAAAACAGTGTTTGGTATTCAGGGGACAGGAAAGGCACAGCATATAGGTGTTGAGACAGTGTCTGTCTCTGTAATAGTAGTAAATTGCCTCAATTGGAAGCAAAAAGAGTTACCACTTCAGCATCCTTTGTACTCACAAAAGCTATTTAAAATAAACCATTTTGCCTGGGATACATGTTCTTTCAGCCAGAAGAGTGGCTGCCTTGCCTCCAGTGCAGATATAGTTTTGCAGATTCTTAATTCAGTCAGCAGTGAAGGAAGTAGTAAGTTAGATATTCAATAGGAATTTTAACAAAGACGAATAAATGTAATCTTAACTGATTTTTTTTTTGTTGAATTAGGTGTTTATATATAATTGTTAAATATGGCTATAGTTTTGTGTCTTTTTCTGGTATACCAAACACTTGATTATCCCTTCAAATTCTCGGGTTTTATTAAGAGCTATGAGTATCAATACCTGTCAGTTTATGCTTTTACAAACTTTTGATGCCAACAGAATATGAATATTGCTATTATATGATTTTAGTTTGTCTCTTGTTTGTAAAACATACAGGGGTATACAACTATTTTCAGTCTTCTTTCTGGTACTATCAAACCCCATTTTTTCCAGGGTGAAGTGGCTTCCTTTAGTAAAAACAATTTGAATAACTGTTGGAAACAGCTCTGAGGCACCCTAGCATGGTAAAAAGTAACATTGCAAATATTACTTGAGCGTAACTATAATTTTATCCTTTTAAAATTCATTGAGTATTCAAGTGGATCAAAGAGACTTATGTGGATAGCACTGGTTAGTAAAGCTGAAAAGTAAAGCTGGGGAAAAGGAAAACTTTTATAATCTTTGGTGGATTTTTATGACCATGGCACAAAACCATTTTACGTTAATTAGCATGTATAAGAGCAGTAAGAGATCTGAATGGAAGTTCCTGGTCCTTGGTGGTAAGAGAATTACAAAAAATGGTCAGCACGCAGAAAATATAAGCAGCATTTCCTATCATAGGAGTTCAAATTCAGAAGCTTGTAAAGGTTACAGTAATAAAATCTTGGTCTGTAGGTTTCAGTAATAACTTTATTACTTTTCACAAAGAATAAAAAGGAACAGTGATCATCCAAAATAAAGCATGTTTGGATGGACATAGAAAACCACAGAAAGCTTTAAAATATGAAAGCAATGCTAATAACTAATATATCTTGGTTATAGAACTGTATTAATTTAAAATAATCCTATTTCAGAGAGGTAAATGACAAAATGTAGGGTCAGAACAGCAAATATGTGCTAAGGCTTGCCTGGGGTAAGGGGACTCCAAATACTTTTGCCTCTGAAACTTCTGTTTGATTAAGATAAAGGAACTATTCACTGACAGCCAGAAAAATCACAGTCCATACACTAAAAAGAGACAAATGGCACAATAGAATAATTGTTATGAAGTTGTTGAAACTAAAAGAAAACTGAACTGTGGGTGATTTCTTATGCAAACATACTGGACACTTATTGTAGCCTTAAAGACTTTCTGAAGATGAGGATCATCTACAGTGTGCTTCATGGCTCAAGAAATACTTAAGAGTGCTAAAAGTGTTTTCTGTCTGACTTGGTAAACCCCAAAGGTAAACATTTATGCTTTCTTTTTCATCAAAGATCCCTTGATATAGTATTATGTGCAAACATTAAGGCAGTAGTTCTCAAAACAGGGAACACAACCCCAAATGGAATAATCCGCAAAGCAGAAGGTGGTTTGCCAACTAGTAGTGAGATAATGAGCCTGAAGGGCAAATGAAGTAAGATCACAAAGTAAAGCTTTGAAAACTCATTGAAAACAAATGAGACCTGCCCTACATGACCCCTGCATGCTTCTTAATTCATTTAAGAATTATAACTGAATTGGTCAAATGATTGCAATCTGATTAAAATGATAGGAATGCTGCTTGAGGACTTCTTTTTTTGTTGTTTTTCAAAATGCCATTTTTTTATTTCTTCTGCAATGACATAATAGATCGTAATCAATCTGGAAACCTACATTTATTCATAGAAGTCATTAAGGCTGTTAATTACTGTTTAGTATTTTCAAGAGTCAGAAATTGAGCTTTGAAGTATTGGGATCCTATGGCCTATTCATCCTTTCATCAAGGAAAATTGTGCAAATGTGTGATGAGCCTGAGTGATCTTGATTCCACAGAGTTTGGAACAGAGAGGAAAACCAAATCACTTTGAAATTTTCTATGTGAGTAACCTAATAGAAATCAACATCTGTAAGCTTATTAATACAAAGTCCTAGCTGGTCATTCATCAGTAAATCCAAAGATGAATACTTATGGAGGCTGGACACTCTTTTATCTTTAATTATTACTACTGTCTGCAATCAGTCACTAATGCATATTTTGCAATAGGTAGAAAAAGATTTACAAACACTGACTTCTGAATTAGAACTACAAGAAACTACAGGAAGTCCTGAAAATAGCACAGGTTTTAAACATAGATTTAGTCATACTGTTTGTAACAACTGCTGTTAGTACAACATATTTGTATATATTTTTACGTATCAGTATCGTAATTGTTTGAAAGTTCTAAGATTCCTGTCATTGAAATATTTATACTACTTAACTCCAGAAAATCTGTTCCAAATTTAATGTTCGAAAGACAGAAAGCTGAGTAGTTCCAGAGAAATAAATGAGTGAATATTTTTTTTCTGCTATGTAATATATGCAGAAATGATAAAAAAGGTAGGTGGCTTTGTGTTTTGAACTGAAATCTGTTTGATCAAACAAGCCTTCTTCATCTGTTTTGTACCATTCAGAGGTTGTCAAGAAATTAAAAAAGATGTTTCTGGAACATTAGCCAATTAAGAAATATACTAGTTCAAAATTTACCAAAGTTTTGGTTAAACTTTGGACTTTGAGTCAGGAAAGGTCATAAACACAGAACCTTGAAATCTCATTTTTACTTGCAGCACTCTGGTGTGTACAGTTGTGGGAAGCACAGCTGTTTGGCTATACTACTGCTTTTTTTAGTAGATAGTGTGGATCATATTGATCAACAAATTATGACTGCTATTCTTCTATTTTAGGGTTTCGGTGTGTCTACCTTGAATACATGCATACATGCTCTTGTATATATTTTCGTGTATATATTTTCTTACTCATTTTCTCTTGCTGCTTATCTTTCTCTGTTGTTCTCTCTCTTGCCTTTCCTTTTTTCCCCTGAAGTCTTCATGCTCTTCTAGCCAAAACAGGTAATAAATTAGTAGATTTATTATAACTGTGCAGCTCTACTAAGGGCAATCAAATGAAGCATTTCCACAAACTAATTTTGCAGTGCGGTACCAAATTCCCAGTCTGAGGATGATGGGCTTTTAAGAAAAATAATTGGTAACCTTTGGGTTTTCATTAAGTAACTGTATAGGTTTTTGTCAGAGAAAGGTCAGAAAGTTGCTCAATTTGTCTCTGCTATTACAACTTCTAGGAGTTTAACAAGCTGAGGTTGTTAAATGATGAGGTTAATGTTTTATGCCTCTTACACATGACCTTTTTAGTCTTGTTTCAGCTATTGAACTTATAATTGGAGAAATCAGAGTTCTTCCATCACCTTGTCAGCCAAAATGATTAAGGCATGTAGACTTATCTTAAAGTCCTGTCTTCATAAAATAGTCTTTAAGCATCTTTGCTCTTACACCCCAGTTCAGCCATTCTGGCAGTGTTAGGCAATAAAGGTTGCCAGTTGTTTCTTTTGTGAATATTTTAATTGTATAAAATATATTACTCTAAAATAGCTTCATAGTATGGACTGGAATTTGGGGAACAAGTGGATTAAAGCTGAAATGCTGAGCTCTCTAGAGGAAAAGAAAATATGAAATATACAATATAGCAACTTAGAAAAGTATGTAATTATTAATTATTCTAGATACTTTAATGTAATAGGAAATAAACATTGAATTGGAACCATTTGCAAAACAAAATACCATGAGCATCAGAGTTTCATCTTCAAATCTGTTAGTACGAATGATTCTGATTTTTTTTTTTTTGCCTTATGAAAGCTTTGATGTTGACCTGCTATCTCTTAGTGGAAACATATAAACATTTAAGATGAAAGGATTTTGACACAAAATTTTGTTTGCAAACAAATGGCTTTTAACTTTTCCATTGCTAGCTTGCCTAACAGAAACCTCTGAAATTCCCTGTATCTGTTTAGGGACAGTTCCACTTTTGAGTTGTTAGTGCTGCAGTTCTCAACTTAAAGCAATGCTAAGCTGGGCATTAAAAATTAGTCTTCTCACCTGGCTTCCATGGTGTCCTCCAGAGATGCGATTCAGTAGATAACTGGTCCTGAAGGATTTCTGTTTCATGCTCTTGTCATGTCCCCTGAGGTCCATGTAAACTTTTAGCCTCCAGTGTGTCTCCTAATGAACAACTAGATAGACTGGAAAACAAAGAAAGGGAGATGTTTCTTCACAAAATAGTGTCCTAAACACAAGTTCTTTCTTCTGGTCTGCTGAGGTTCCCATCATTTAAAATGTGAAATCTACAGGTATTGTTTTACATTCATTTATCATTTTATTGCCTATTTACTCAATTCATAATGATCTTTCTGCATTTCATTTTAGTCACCCCCTACCCTAATGAACTTTGTATCATAAGCAAATTCATGTTATTGTTTACT